AGTAAAATGTAGAAACCAGTCAATTAGTCTATTAGAATATTTTTTCATTGCAACTGAACAGATAAAGAAAAAGGCTACTGTTAGCCTATGAAAAAAAAAGGATTGTGTTGATTAAAATTTCCCAAACAACTTCAAACCCTTCTCCAAAAAGCTGGTTAAAATATGGCTACAGTAGAATTACTTAGTCTCCTTGACGAGAAACTAGGTTAAACATTAACCTTAGTGTGCGTCTCTCTTTTGAGGTTTCCCTGACACATTTCACCAGGGAGGATACTGCCTGAGAATGACGTCAGGGTCCACAAAAGGAGGTGGGGAACATCACTGAAGGAATAGGTGTCTTGGTTTTCCTTTTGGACTATTAACCAATGCAGACTAAGGTTAGATAACGGGTGGCTGAGGAAAAGACTTAAAAATGGATGCTCACATTTGTTCTCCATGCAGCGTGATAAAGCTTGAGCTACTTTGCATTGGACAAAAATATTCAGCCTCTATATGTGTAAAGCTGATAGAAAAAAACCTTCAATGAAACGGTATCTTAGATTTAGCTGCTTGATCTGTTTTCCAGCTCTCATTCCATTGCAAGCATGATCATGAATCAATAAAGTTACAAGCTATGTTCACCAGGCCAAATAATACAAAGAAAGGGCTAAGAATCAGATGGGTAAAGAAGAGATTGATCACTCCATCAGACTTGACTAATTCAGATTCTAATTCAACCATGTAAAATAATAGAGAAAAAGAAATATCCTTTATCGTCCCTCTGGGAGATATTTATTGCTATACACCAATATTGCTTATTACAGTATAGATTACCTGAAATATGGAAAGGATTTGAACTGCTACCCCATATGTTTAGCAAAACAACGGCTTCATTTGTAAGATTTTTCATTTTGGAAATGAGATACCAGCTGTAAAAAGGTTAAACATGAACTCCAGGATCAGGAACAATGTATCTATAGGGTTGTAGCAGTACCCGTTACCACACTAACAGAACAGTAAAATAAAAGAAAAAAATCTGCAATTTTTTTTGTGCGTTTGTTTTACAGTAATGTAAATATTTTAAAGAAAAGAAAAAAGTTTGAGGATTGCATGTTCTTCTTACCTGTTACTAAAACATCAAACCACACATACTGAAACTCTCATGTTAATGGTTCTTTATTCCTTAAAACTGATGTAACGTCAATGATGGAACAATAATTACAGGCGGCCTCTTTCATCTGATGAATTTTGTGGTTGATCTAGCTGTTCTTTATGTAGTTCAATCTAATCCTTCTAATATTTCCACTAAGTTTTCATTCTCAAACTCCCAAAATTACATTTTGCATCTATTAAACTCTAATAGTAACGTATGGATTAAAACCTTCGTATAATTTTGAAAATATATATGTGGGGTGACAAGCTCAGTCACCCGGGGACGTCTCTCTGGTGAGGTGTTTAAGTCCCACCGGAAGGAGGCCTAAGGGGAGACCCAGGACACGCTGGAGGGACTATGTTCCTTGGCTGGCCTGGGAGCCTCTTGGGGTTCCCCCGGAGGAGCTGGGTCAAGTGGCTGGGGAGAGGGAGATCTGGGCCTCCCTACTGAAGCTGCTACACCCGCGACCCGACCACAGAAAAGCGGACGAAAGTGGGTAGTTGGGTGGTTGGATGGATGGATGGATGGATGGATCTGTTTCTACCTTATGTTAG